AGGATATATTTGATATAGAAAAAGATTTTTGTATTTATTTATATTTATATACATGAACAAAAATAATTTTAGTTTTTTTTTTATTAAAATATATATATATATAAAAATATTTATTAGAAAACACGAAAAAATAATGTATATACATAATATTTGTATATACGCGGGTGTTTTTATATATATATATATATATATATATATATATATATATATATATATATATATATATATATATATATATATATATATATATATATATATATATATGCACTCTTAAATAAATATATATATACATAAATATGGATGAAAATTTTCGACCTGCTCCCACAAGTACGGTCGGCCAGTACGGGTAAATAAAGTACTCCATCTCTCACCACGACTAAAGGTGCTCTTCTGTGTACACTCAACTCATTTTAGACTAAGCGCGTTTTGTCCCTCATGAGACTCATCAGTAGACCGAGTTTGATCACTTAGTGCAGTTATTATCTTAGTAGACAGTATGGCAAACTAAGGTGTTTTTTTAAGGTAAATCACTAAAATACTTCTAGTCGATAGAAACGTACTGTTACTCTCGGCCGAATAAAAAAAGAAAAAAAATATGTGAGTCGACTTGAATCTAAAAGGACGTGGGTCTATAAAAGGTGAGAATTTCAACAACATTCAAACAAAATCAATATATATATATATATATATATATATATATATATATTTCAAAAATACTTTTTATTTACCAGAACATAACACAAACAAAAAGAAAATTCCAATAACATACCGGCTTGGAGACCAAGCAAGTTTAACATGAATGAACTTTATAGGCCACCAATTAATTAAAACATAGATATATATATATATATATATATATATATATATATACACAAATATATAACATGAGGTTGCTTATATGAGTTCAATAGAATAGTTTAATTTTTTTTTATTTTTTATTTATTTTTTTAACACAACTGACCAGAGGTCCCAACGGACCACTTACCCAATCAGGAAGAAAAAAAGAAATGTTATAAAGCTAGGCAATTGGAGACAGATAAAAAAGTCAACATAAAAAAAAATAAAAAAAAACATTAAACAGAAATTTGCATAGTTATTCCTAACATTGTCATTAATACATAGATCGAAAAATAAGTAATTTTTAAGACGATCGGTAGTGTTTGAAATAAATACGAACATCAGATAATGTATAAAAAAACCATTGTTAAACAAAATACATAATATATTTCATCAATTGATTGTTATATGAAAACAAAAATCAACAAATTAATTTATTGATCAATTGTTAAAAAACGCTTCAAGTCAACAGAGAGTAGTTTGCGTCTAAAAACATCATAAGTTGGAGATGTGACAACTTCATCCGGTAGTGCATTCCACACTCGAAGAATAAATATTTGGTAGTATTATCGCTTGAGTTGCATTCACGAAGTCTCTTGCCATGACTACGAGTTGACAAATAATGAGATGGAACAAAATTATCTTTTAAATGTTGAACAGTGAGATTGTTAAGTATTTTGTATAACAAACATAAATCAAAAATCAATCGGCGATGTTCCAATGTTTGTATTTTGACAAAGTGTAAACGAGACAGATACGGAAGATGGTGGATTGAAGCAATGGCCTTAGTGAATCTCCTTTGAACTTTTTCGACATTAATAGTTTGATATTTATAGTGAGGACACCAGACAGTTGAGCAATATTCCAGTAGAGGACGGACATAAGTGCAAAAAGCCTTGTTGGGCAAATCTTTATCTTTGGATGCAAAACATTTAATAATAAAACGAGCACGGGTAGAAGATCTATGCGCAATGTTGTTAATATGCTGTTTAAAACTTAGTTTATTATCAAATATTACACCTAGATCTTTAAAATATTCGACAGGTGTCAGAATGTGATTATCAATCACATACTGATTTATGGCAGTAAGATTTTTTGAACATGGTAGAAATGAGCAAAGAGAACATTTTTTAGGAGAAAGCGGTATCGTTAAGGACCTGTTGCAGTTGGAATGAATTTGATGAACCGGCATACAATTTGATATCATCAGCAAAAAGCAGCATAGAGACATGTTGAGATGAAAGGCAGTCTTCAATACCATTGATGAAGATGAGAAACAGGGTGGGTCCCAGAACGCTGCCATTGGGGTACCCCACTTGTTACTGCAACTGGACTGGACAGTTTATTTTTAATCTTGACTAACTGTGAACGGTTATATAGAAAATCTGTTAATTATCCGAGCAAATTTTCGCCGATGCCATACGCTTTTAGCTTGCAGATTAGCTTTGTTTGTGAGACTGAGTCGAAGGCCTTTTGAAAGTCGAGATAGACGGTGTCGCATCTTTTCTTTCTTTGGCGAATTAATAACAGATCGCTTAGAAATTTGAGGAGGTTAGTAGATGTTGATCTGGCAGGCAAAAAACCGTGCTGAAATTTGGATATTAAATTGTTGTTTAACAAATAAGATATTATATTGTTCTTGACTATTTTTTCCATAACCCGACAAGATGAGCAGGTAAGGGATATTGGTCTATAATTGCTGGGGTAATTGGTTGGACCCTTTTTATGAATTGGAGTAACAATTGCTTTTTTCAAATTTGTTGGTAGAGAGTTAGTTTTGATTGACGTATCAAATATGTGACACAATGGAAGAGCTAGACTTGAAGCACACATTTTGAGAAACCTGTTTGGTATTCCACCTGGGCCCACTGATGTTGTATTTTTTAATTTGCGCAGAGTGAGATACACAATCTGTGGAGTGAAGCAAATGTCATTCAATGATTCTGTTGTACGATTTGATAGAGAACAATTGCTTTTATCATCGATGGTGAAAACGGAGGAAAAATACTCATTGAACATATTTGCCATCACAACAGGATCAGTAGTTACATTGCTATTACTATTATTAATATTATTGTTAATTATTAACAACAGTTGTTGTTGTTATTGTTGAAACTATTATTAATGCTACCATTATTATTATCACTACCATTAGCAACAATTTTATTATAACTAATTCTATCCTTAAAAATATCAATACCAATACCCACATCCATGTATTCATTGTTATTATTAATGTTAATGTTATACTTATAATTATTATCAACTCTGTTATTATCATTATTACTATCACTATTATTATTGTTATCATTACCATTATTATTATTATCATCGACGTTACTAATATTTTTACTACTATTATTGTCAATACTAATACCATTATTATTATTATAACTACTATAGACACCATTACTAATACCATCGTTATTATTACTATTGTTATTAAAATTATTATTATAATCGCCACCACTACTACTATTAACACCACCACTACTAACATATCCATTACTATCAACATTGCTATCAATATTTTTATTGCTATTATTATTATTATCAATCAATCTTCGTTTTGCGTCCAGAGACCCGGTTTCCCGAGGTAGGACGTTGTTTTCTTTGCCATCAACTTTTTGCGCCAAATTAGACGATCAGTTGTATCCATTTTATTTAAATTTAGAGCTGTCATGTCTTGCTCGATTGTTTGCGACCAGGACTTCTTTTCACGGCTTTTTGGACGTGTGCCAGGTACTTCAACATCTGCAAGAAAAGTTATGGCACTGTTCCCACTTCGTTTGACATGACCAAAACACCGCAGACGGTGTTGTCGGCATTCGTCTTTTATATCATCTAAACCAGCACGACGCAAGATTTCGGTAGATTTGATGTGGTTCTTCAGACTAATTCGTTGCGTCCATCGGAGCATTTTCATGTCGGTTCGTTGAAGTTGTTGTTCCAGTTTGGTAGTCATTGGCCATGTTTCTGCACCATATAACAACACCGGACGTATCACAGATTTATAAAGTCTTTATCGTAGTGGTAGTGGGATGTCACGCCGCATCAATATAGAGGCATGGAGATGCCATTTATTCCAGGCTGTACGTATGCGTTCTTGAACGGCAGCTTCAGCGGTTCCTGTATAATCCAGAACATCCCCTAGATATTGAAACGATGTGACTTTCTCTATTTTAATGGCTTCAAAAACAGTGCTATTTTGAATTTGTTGTTGTGGATTGATGCAAACAGGACAAACAAAATTGGACACTTTAGATAAAGTACCAATTATTTTTGAGCAACGTTTGTGACACCACTGGTTACACTGCTGACACTTGATTAAATTGTTACTTACACCAGCTTTACAAACTGAACAGGGCCATCGTCCAGTAGCTGTGGATTAGATGGGTTCACCAGTGTTCATTGCTTTGGTTTGGCTGATGTTGACTTTGAATCCATGATCGGCGATATCATCAGCATATACTAGATTCCAAATGTCACCAGTGCGTATCGGTTTTGTGATTTCTTCCATCACAGTTATAAATAACAGTGGACTGAGAATCGAGTCTTGGTGAACTCCAACGCCGATGTCAAATGCATCTGTGTTTCCAACCGTTGTGCTGACAAAAGTCTTAGTATTCGTATACATTTCCATCACAAGTCGAACAAGATATTCTGGAATGAATTGTCGACGTAGACTCCATCTGATTGCTTCACGGGGAACTCGATCAAATGCTTTTTCAAGGTCTGCAAAAATGTGTGATAGTTGTTGATGCTTTGCGAGGTACTTTTCTTGCAGTTGCCGAAGGATATGAATTGCATCAATTGTTGATTTCCCCGCTAGAAAACCAAATTGATAATTTCCGATTGTGATGCACGACGTTAATCTTCTCTCAATAATTTTTAAAATTATTATTATCATTATCGTTACAATTATTTTCACCATTATTTTTGCCATTATTATTACCATCATCATTACTATTATTATCACCCTTATCACCATTATTATCATTTTCGTTACCATTATCATTATTATTACCACTATTATTATTATCACCACCATTATTGTTATCATTATTGCTACCATTATTATTACCATTATTGCTATCATCATTATTAATATTATAATTATTGTTATCATTACTATTATCACTACCATTATTATTATCATTATTATGATTAATGTTGTTGCCGTTATCATTACTATG